AATAATTTCAATTTTAAAGAAAATTGAACTTCATTGTTTGGCGGTATTCTTTTTAGAATTTATTTAATTTTTCTCTTATTCCTTCTTTTTTTCACAACAAATGGAAAATAATTTCACTCGAAATATCACGTTAAAAAAATACTCCCAATTGCAAGTAAAATTTAAAGTAAAAAAAAAAAATTTTCTTTCAAGAAAATAAAAATAAGTTTATGATTTTCCTGACGAAATTAAAATGGAGATTAAAAATATTCTTCAAAATTTTGTTTTTGAAACAAAGAATAGAAAATAAAAATGAATTTTTATTTTGAACATAAATTAAAGGAATATTATAAATTGAAACATATTTTTTCATAAACACAAAATAATAAAAAAAAAAAACAACTCTATCAATTTTTTTGTCTATTATTTTGGAAATTCAATTTTCTTTTTTTTTTGTAAATAATTTTATACCTTCAATTATTTTTTAATTTTATTGCTCTAAATATTAAAAAAAAAACAATTTTTGCGATTTAAATTTGAAAGAGTTTTAATTTTTCAATTTAAATAAATGAAAAGTAAAAATTTCAATTTATAATTCCATAATTTTGTTTTTTTTTTAAAGGTACTTAGCCCATTAGCATAACCTCAAACTAAAAAATTGTTTTTAACAACAAATAAAACTAAGAAATAAAATTAATTTTATCAAATTTTGAAAGATTTAGTTGTACAATTTTAAAAAAATTTTTATAGTTCTGTTAATAAACTACTTTTTATTTTGAGGTTATGGTTAAAAAAACAATTTCTCAATTTTGAGGTTATGTTAACGTGTACTTGTTAATTTTAGGAATTTGTTACAAAATTTGTGGAATTTGGAAAAACAAATAAAATTTTTTTTGTTTTTAATTTGAAAGAATTGTAATTTTTTTCAATTTAAAAAATTGAAAAGTAAAAATTTCAATTTATAATTCCATAATTTTGTTTTTTTTTTAAAGGTACTTAACCCATTAACATAACCTCAAACTAAAAATTTGTTTTTTAACAAATAAAATTAATTTCATCAAATTTTGAAAAATTCAGTTATACAATTTTTAAAATAAATTAATTTTTATAAAAATTTGTTGTTAACTAATAATATTAACTAAAAACTAATAATTACTAATAAACCTTGCACATTTCACTTTCTATATATATTTTTTGTTTAATTTTAATGAAGAATTATAATTTTTATCCAATTCTTATTTCTTTACAAGATTTTTTACCAAATGGTTTTTTTTTTTAAAATTAACAATATATTTTTATCAAATTAATAAAGAAATAATTTTTTTTTCAAATCATTATCTAAGAAATAGGGAAAAATGTTTATTAATTATTATTTAACAACAAAATTTTAATTAAAAATAACTTTTTTTCAAATAAAACTGTATCTTTGGATGAAATCAATTTTATTTTATTTTTTTTTAGTTCTGTTAATAACTAATTTTTAATTTATGATTATGTTAAAGACAATAATTGCTCCTAAATTTTTAACAAAATTTGTGGAATTTGAAAAAACAAATAAAAATTTTTTTGTTATTAATTTGAAAGAATTTTAATTTTTTCAATTTAAATAATTGAAAAAGTAGAAAATTTCAATTTTGTTTTACTTTTTTCTTAATTTTCCCCTTTTTTTTTAATGATAAAATTTCAATTCAATTTATATTCGAAAAAAGAAGTATTTTATTTGTTCAAAACAAAATTTCGCAGAATATTCTAAAAAAAAAAATAAACTGCAAACTTCTCACAATTTTTCATCGAGAACGAAAAAAAAAATAAGAATCATTTTTTTTTAAAAAAGAGCATTATTTTGAAATATAGTCAAACCAAATTACATTTTTTTTTTTATATGTATACATATGTAACAAATATCAATCTTAAAAGTTATGTATTTATAAACATATTTCCAATGTGCCAGTAAGTTATATGCACGTCCATTAAATACAATAATAGTTAAAAAAAAAAAAAATGTAATGCATGTGTGTGTGTGTATTATTTTTCTCTTGATGTATTTGAAAAGATGCGACTTATTCGGGAGATAGCGCGCTACTGTACATCAGTCTTAATATCAGGGCGCACCATTTCCGTGACGTTTCTTTCAAGATTACACTTTTTTTTTCATTTTCATTTGTTTTTTTTTTTTTCTTATTTTTTTATAGAAAGAAACGCTACTATTGACCCTTTTCATTCAACCAAAGGACCATTTATACAGGTGCCATGGCAGTTGAAATCGGTAATTATTATTTACGAGAGAGATAGAGATAGAGAGAGATAGAGAAAGAGAATGAATTTATGAATAATATCGTACAAGTACGCAGTATGTGTGTTCCGTGTATTTTCTTTTTTTTTTTGCAAAAAACTGTGCGGAAAAAAATTACCATCTTTTTCCTGTTATTCTACAAGTGGGAGGTTCATAGATCTTTCATATATATATAATACAATTAGCGTGTAGTAGTAAAATCATATACAATTGTTACAATATTTAAATATTACTTATTATACATATATATGTATATATAATATAATATGTATAATATATATACATATATACATATATCATATATCGATAAAGGTTTTTTTTTTTTAAAGTTTAAGTATACATATACAGATATTTTATATTTATAAATATACATATATAAATATATACATATACATAAATATATATACATATATTTATATATTTATAAGTATACATTGAAATCGCCTTTTCTTTGTTACGTCGCGATTTTTTTTCGATTATTATTATTATAATTATTATTATTATTAATATATGGAGGACGCAAATCACGCGCAACGTAACATTTCGAGTTCAAAAAAGATGTTTTTTTTTTTTTAAATCTCCTTCGAGAAAATAAACGGAAAATTAGAATTTTCTTTTGTTAAAACATCGTTTTTGGTGTCTCATTCTTTTACAATCATTTATACTTGCCTAAGGATTTTTCGCTCAAGACAAAAAGAGGAATAAAAAAAATTTTTATAAATAATTATCGATTTTTAAAAGTGTTTTCAAAAAAAAAAGCTTTCAATCTTGAACGTGACCGCTAAAACTAGAAAAAAAATAGACAAGTATAAAAATAGTAAAAGTTCAAGAAACTCGAATTCATCCCTTTTATAATCGCGATTTGCCGAAAAAAAAAAAACACTTTTCTTTCGCCGAATTCCTAATTCACACACATGAATTCGGCATACAAAAAAATAATAATAAATGTAAAAAAAAAATAAGATCGAAATTAATAATTAATAATTACAACCTGTATCTCTTTTGTCCGCTTTTTTTCAATTTTTTTTTTTTTTTTTTTTTTTTTTTTTTACAATGGTCGTCGTTAGTCAGAGAATACAGGTATATATGTGTATGTATGTGTGTGTGTGTGTGATATCGCCGATAATCGCTATATAAAAAATTTACACTATTTATAATCAAAAATCGTTTTTTTGTTTTTCTTAAAGAATTTTTCTCAAGGTTTTCTTTTTTCTTTTTTTTTTTCTTATTTACTCCCCCCGAATGCGTCGGATCTCTTGCCCGACAATCTTATCACCGTGAAACTCTTGTTCGTTATTATTTATTTTGGGGAGGGAATCTACCGCTTTGAGATTTAAAAAATATTCAAAAATCTAGTGAATATTTTTTTTTTTTTTTTTTAATATTTACGTATATTTATAATATAATATATATTTATAAGATTGCGCCTAGAGCGATTAATAATAGCGATAGTGAAAAGTACCTGTTAAGAGGCAGTTAAATCGAACGATGTTCATAATTATATATAAATATATAAATATATATTATATAATATATAGTGTATAATTTATAGTACACAATATATATATTATATAATATATAGTATATAATATATAGTATATAATAAATAATATATATTATATAGTATACAATATGGATAATTCTACGTAAGATGGAAAAAAAAAATTCTTTCTTAACTAGGTAATTTTTTTTTTGCGAAATTTTTATGAAAAATAAAAAAATACGTATTTTTTAATTTCTCTATTCAATAAAAATTATGAAAGTTATGATTTTTTTTAAATTTAACGGCGTTCAGAGGCCGAATAAATTTAAAATGCAATTTTTCCTATTCTGCTAATAGATAAAAAAAAATAATTTTACATACAAAATATATTCAATTTTTCTGTAAGATTTTTAATATATATATATAGTAAAAAAAAGAACGGAAACATCTGAAAACTTGGAATTAAGTAAAAAAAAAAAAAGTAAATTTTCTCAAAAACCCTAAAATGATTGATTTTTGAAATTAAATTTTTAATGAACCGCATAATAAAAAAAAAACTATTTTTTTTTTAATCCAATTATAAAAATATTGTATTCTAATTGAATTTCAAAAAATAATTCAATTTTTATTTTAACATTTTTATTTCAAAAATTTTTTTGTATTTGGCACTAAAATGAGAAAAAAATATTAATGGTATTTTTAATTTGTAATAGTTTTCAATTTTTTAAATTCAAAATAATTTCAATTCCAAATAAATAATAATTATAAATAAAATAAATTATTGGAATTTTAATATATAATTGAATTTTTTAGTGAAAACAATTTTTTTTTTCAATTTTTTTCTACCAAAAAACAAATAAATTTTTTACTAAATTGAATACAGTAACTAATTTTTTAAATCTTTAATTGTTTACATATATATATTATATTTTAAATTTAAATAATTTCAATCTAAAATTTCTATTTATCATTCATTTATTTAAATTCGAAAAAAAGTGTTTTTTTTTTTATTAATTCTTATTTGTTGAAAACAAAAAAGAAAACTATAACAGAAGCATTTAAAAATTATAAATTAAGACCAAAAAAAATAATTTTTCAAAAAACCGAAGTATTTTTGGAATTTTTTTTTCTAATCCAGTTTCTGATTCATTTCGTATTATTTTCTTATATTTCTTATTTTTTGAAAATTTATTTATTTTTAAATTCATTCAGTTTTTATTCTCATATTAATTTAATTTAAAAAAAATATTTTTTTTTTTGTTATTATAGTTAAAATATTAAAGAGAAATCGAACAAATTTCATATATATTATTTTTTATCTGCTAGCAGAACAGAAAAAATCACATTTTAAATGTAGTCGGCCTCTGACGCCGTTAAATTTAAAAAAAATCACAACTTCCACAATTTTTATCGAATAGAGAAATAAAAAAACATGTATTTTCCCATTTTTCATAAAAAATTCGAAAAAAATCTACCTAGTTAAAAAAATTTTTTTTTTTAAACCGAAATCTCACATGGAATTTCCCATATAAATATACAATAGACTGAAAAAAATATTATTTGGCTCAATGAACCATTGTCAAATAAATATTTATTTGAATTATTTTTTTCAATATATATATTATTATATTATATATATAATATATATATAAAGAGTAAGAATGTAAAATTAACATATATATTAGACGTGGGGGGGGAGAGAGGGACATATATCGCTATTTTTCTTTTTTTCTTTTTTTTTTTTTTGCCTTTAATTATAAAAATGTATTTCGTTTGGCAATATTGAGAGTTGAGAAAAATGAATAAAGATGTGAAAATGTAGAAAGGCAAAAATTTGTTTCCTTCTAAATTTGTTTTTACAAAAAGTGACGCGCGATTTACATTTATAAAGGAAATATATATGTCGTCAGTTCTTAAAAATTACAACGTTTAACAATACGTTCAAGGTACTATCATATTTATATTATCATATATATATTTATATATATATTTATATTTATATTTATATCGACGAAGCGACTCGAGAGACGGTGACTGGAATGTCTGTCTGTAATGTGGAATTTTGTCATAATTCTCCCATTTGGATTTAAAGACGATTTTTCTCATTTTCCTCATCGACGCGGGAATTGTATTTTTTTTTTTTTTACCACTATTTTTGTTTTTCACTTTTTTTTTTTTTCTTTTATACAAATAATGACACTTTCGGCAAGAAGAAAGAGCGAAAGTTGTTTTTTTTTTTAAATAGAAATTTATCGACTCTTAATAAATCGTAATATGTACAATATTTTACAAGAAAAACAAAAAAAAAACTCCTATATTTCTCTCTTTTTTGTAAATTTATACAGAAAACAGGTTTCCCGTGTTTTTTTTTTAATAACAACTACATTTAACAAAATTATTATACATTGTACAAATTTTCAGTTTTTCCCCGCCGAGATTTTTTCTTTTTTTTTATATATAAAATCGTCGAAAATCCATGGAAGGCGCTAAAAAAAAATGGGAGGAGAAGTTTTAAAGGCTATTTTACACGCTGTATGATTCGTCGATTTGAGCGGCGGTTTTTTTTTCTTTACTTCTACAACGTTTATACAATATACAATTGAGTTTCATCTACATTGTGAAAAATAGAAAGGGGGGGTAAAAAACGATTTTCCGATTTATTTTGCAAATATTTTTTGCAAATTGTGGAAAAAATGGTGAGAAAAATCGTAAGCAAAAAAAAATATGTTAATTTTTATCGTATATAATACACAATATTCACAAGTCTTAAAAAAAAAGAAAGTAAAAGAAGAGAGGTAGAAAGACAGAAAAAACGAGGAAATTAAAAAAAAAAAAAAAAAAAAACCTCGTGAAAAATGTTTCTGTAATACGTTTTCTCTCGGGGGTTGAAAAAAATTCAGAGGAACCTCTCTTGGCCTCTTCTCGTCGATCTTTTACGTTTTTTTATTTTTTCTTTTATTATTTCTAATTTTATAACTCTTCCAAAGCGGCAACACATCGGGACAGAGTCGGGTCAAAGAGTTTTTAATGTCGGGGACGCTCTCGATTTCACTCCCACGTCGAACGTCTAAAACGCTATTCCTAATTTAAAAAAAAAAAATATGCGGTTCGGCTCCTAAAGCCAGTTTCTATTTTTTTCCGATGGAAAGAAAAAAAAAAAATAATAATCGCTTAAATTTGCGATCAACGATAATAAAGCACTATATATGGTCTCTATAGCTATATATATATATAGATGCAACTTTCTTTTTTTTCTTTTCGAAAACAAAGAAATCGGAAAAAAAGAAATTCAATTTTGAAGTCGATTTCAAAAATGGAAATAAAATGTATCGAACTTTCCATGACAGAAATTCAAGCAATATAAAATATGAAGCTGCGCACAAATTACTTTTTTTTTTTTTTTTTTTTTCTCCGGCTATTATTATTAATTACTATTTATTAATAATTATTAATATTTATTATTATTAAGATATTTAAAAATTGTCTTCGTGCAAGAAAAACTGTCGTAAAAAGCTTATTCAATTTGAAATACGACTTAGAAAGAAATTGTTGTTTTGTTTTTTATCCCCTTTTTCTCGCTTTTTATAGGACTTGAGTTGTTTGTTGGGCTGGTGTTGGAACTGGTCCTGCGGATGATGCGGGTGGTCCAATGGGTCCTAAATCGCCGGCACCTGTCGATGCATTTGCCGGTGTCGATACTCCCATTGCCGATGCTGTTTTCATGAAAAATTTCTCTAATTTCACAATTATATGCTTTCCATAGGTGTACTTGCGAAGACTGCCCAAATGTGGTCGAATTTTATGCATCAATACTTTACGTTGCGCTGGCTCGGCAACGTCAATCATCTTTTGTACCACGTAATTTGCATATTGATCTTTCATCATTACATTCAATGCACTGTAAATTAAAATCATTTATTTTTATAGATAGAAATTTCAAAAATTTTTAATAAAAATATAAATTAGCAAATATTATAAATAGAAATTAGCAATCTTTAAAAATATAAAAATTTTATCAGGCTTGATACAAAAATATTATTTTCTTTTTTCCTGACTTTTCTTTGATTTCTAGTCAAAATTAAAATTTTTTTCCTAAACCTAATGAAAATATTTTAAGAGGTTTTCAATAATAAGCCACGGATTGCATTAAAATTCTCTATAATTCAATTATTTCTGAAAATTTTATTTAAAATTCTTCGCTAGATTAATTTTTTTAATTACTTTAATACAGTTTTTCAACAATTCAGAGACATAAAAAGTTTTTTTTTTTTTTTTATTAAAAATACTCTAAAATTTTATTATTTTTTAAAATTTGTAAAAAAAATTTTATCAATTAAAGTTTAAATTTCAAATCTTCTGAAATTTAATTACTTCCAAAAAAAATTTAAATTCGAACTCTTCCAAAATCAATTAATAATTAAATGTTAATTTAATTGAAAAGTTTTTTCACAAATTTTTATCTATATAATTATTTGTTTAATTAATTATTTCAGGGGTTTTAATTCAATTATTTAAATCGTTTTTTAATTAATTTTTATATTTACAGACCTCGGATCGACTTTAAGGAGCAAAAAAAAAGTCATTTAGTCGATTTTAATTCCAAAAAAGTAGATTTTTTATTTTAATTATTTTAATTTTCAAAGATTTACAATTCAAATTTTTGAAATTAATTCAAATTAATTCAATTCAATTCAAATTAGTTCAAGTGATTTGAAAAATGCTTCCAAGTAGTTAAATTTTTTTAAAAATATTATAAAAAGTATTTAAAATCCAATCAATATTGGAAGAGTTACTGTTGAAATTTTTAGAAATAATTGAATTCAAGTGATTTTGAATTGAAATTTTTGGTGATTTCTGTTGCTGAAGGATTTATTAAAAATTAAAGAATATTATTATCATTATTATTATATTATTAAAGAATATTATAAAAATCATATTAAAAAAAATTAAATTTTGAAAGAGTTATAATTGAAATTATTAAATTTCAAAAAGTTTTATATGGTAAATTTAAGAAATAATTAAATTTTAAATGTTTTTAAATTGGAATTTTTGGTAATTTTATTTGTATTTTTCTTTTTTTTAATTGTAAACAATTGTTGAATTTCACAAAATTTTTAATTGAATTTGTGAAGAATTTCATTAAAATTATAAAAAATAATTAATTTAGAAAAAAATTTGTTAAATAATTGAAATAAAGAAAATCTAAATTGTATACTAAAAAAAGACTTATTTTGTTTAAAAATTTCATTTAAAAAATGTTTAAAAAAAAGTCAAAAAAGTCACATCTTATTTAAATACGTCGAAAAAATTTGTATTTTCGAAAAAAAAAGTCAGAAAAAGGCGAAAAAGTGGTATAATCCGAGGTCTATATTTAGAACAAAATTATAATTTTTGAAATCTCAAAAAAATGCAATTATTTATAAAAAATCTTAACTGTAACTCAATCAAAATTCAATTATTTAGACTATATTTCAGTTGAAATTTTCTTAAAATTCAATTATTGTCTGAATTTTGTAAAAAAAAAAAAAAAATTCAAATTTATAAAAGTTTCAATTGAAAATCTCTTGAAATTTAATTATTTCTAAACATTTTAAATCAAACTCTTTCAAAATCAATAATTTTTAAAATTTTAATTAAAAAATCTTCTAAAATTAAATTATTTCACAAAATTTTCATTTAAAATTAATTTTTTTTGCAATAATATTTGAATGAAATTCTACGAAACTTTAATTATTTAAAACATTTTCCGAAATTCTTAATTCGAATAATGTGCATAAAATTTTCTTTTTTTTTTCAATGTAACTTTAAATTATTTTTCAAAATTTGTTCTGAAAATTAATTGAAATCTTGAAAATTTGTCTCAGTTTAATACGGTGGTTTAAAAAGAAAAATTGTTGAAAATATATCTGTGAATTATTCTTATTAAGAAATTAATTAATTTTATTTAATTCCTAATAAAAAATTGTTAATAATAAGAAAATATTTATCAACTAATTGAAAATAAAAAAAAATTGACTTTTTAGACTTTTCTTGTAATGTAAATCGACTAAAATGACTTTTTTTTTCTTTCAAAAGTCGATCCAAGGCCTACAATTATAAAATTTTGAAAATAATTTTTATAAGCAAAAGTTTGAGTTGAAAATTTCAAAAATTATAATTTTAGTAGGCTGTGAAGAAGTATTTAAAATGAAAAATTTGCCTGCAAAAATAAAAAATTGTATAAATAATAATTATGTAATATAGAAATTTGTTTAAATGGAATTTCTGTTGAACAATAATTCAAAGAAATTAAATTTTAGTTGAAAATACAATTTTCAAAATAATTTGAAACAAACAATTGTAAGGATTGTGGTGCGCGGTAAGGGTTTTTTTTCTGTAAATCCTATATTTATGTATAAAAGATTATGTCAAGAAGTTGAACCGCCTCAATATAAATTTAGATTTACATCAGAAAAAACATCATTTTCAATTAATTTTATTAATATTATAAATTGAAAATTATACTTACCATTAAATGTTATTACTTATGGAATTATTAATTAATAGTCCAGACAAGTTAATATTTTTAGACTCTAATTTCGAATCGCAATTTTTTTCTAATACTAATAAGTCATTTTTTTACCGAATATTGTTTTAAACAAATTTTTTTATAATCTTTAAACAACTTTCTACGTCTGTATTGTATAATTACAAAAAATTTAATAATTTTCTTTAAAAAAGGGAACTAAACTTATGAAAGGCAAAAATTTGCAAAAAAAAAACTGATTTTTTGTACACTTTTCATCAAAAAATTATCGAGTTCGTTGTGCCAAACTCAGGTACTTTATTTCTATCCCAAAGTGAAAGATTTAAGAAAAAAAATTGCGGTTCGAAATAACAGCGAAATTAAGTTATTTCTAATTGTTATTTATAATTTCTCTCCTATTAAAAATAGAGAAAAATGTTTTCTTAACGTAGAAAATGTTATATTTTCAGAAAAAAATATTTCAAAAAGAAATTATAAATAAATAAAATTATTTCAAATAATAAAATTCCATTATAATTTTTAAAACTGTCTTTTTTGTTTCTCAACTTCGAAAAAATCGAAACTCATAATTGAGCTCTAAAATTAATTTGTTAGAATTTTTATTTGACAGAATTTCATTATCTAGAATTTCTATTAGGCCGAATTTTTATTTCTTCAAATTATTATTTTAAAAAAAATTAAAAAATTTACTTTTTAGACTTTTCTTGTAATATAAATCGACTAAAATGACTTTTCTTTCTTTTAAAAATCGATCCGAGGCCTACAATTATAAAAATGTAAGACAATTTTTAGAAACAAAAATTTGAGTTGAAAATTTCAAAAATTATCATTTTAGTAGCCTGAAGAAGTATTTAAAATGAAAAATTTGTCTGTAAAAATAAAAAATAGTTTAAATAATAATTCTGTAACATAGAAATTCGGTTAAATGGAATTTCTATTAAATAATAATTCGAAGAAAAAAAAAATTTGTTTCAAAAGTTAATTATAGGTAATAGAATTCTGTTAAGTGAAAATTCTAATAAATTCATTTTAGATCTTATTGATGCGTTTCAAAAAGTTTTGAACACTACTTATTTTATATTTTGCAAAATATTAAAAATTAGCAAATTAATATTTTTTTATATTTATGTAGTACCATTATCACTATCAATTACTATAGGGAAAAAAAAAATTTTTGAATTTCGTTTTCATATGAAATACCTCAAAGAAACAAATTGCCAAAAATGTCTTTTTGTAGAAATATCCCCCAAAAATAATTTTCTACAATAAATAGATATTATAATAATTTTCTTAAAATAAACCGCAACGACTTTGAATGAAATAAATTGACAAAGCAACAACTTGTATACTGAATACAATATTATAGAGAAATATTGTAAAATATATAGGACATTAAAGTAGTAAATAATGGTATGGAGAATGAATGCGATAATATGATTTAGCAAATACTAATAATACATATTGTAACAAAGAAGCAAATACAAACTTGTCATTAAATCCGCAAACTTCTTCAATGAGTACAGCACGTTCCTGTCTTGTAGCGTGTGTCACACATTTCTCAACAACGTTGCTCGCAAATTTGTGTTGTGAAAGTGCCAAAACTTTTCCTCTTACACTGCTGATTAATTGTGCTTTATCTTCAGGTTTACCATGTTCTGAAAATACAGAAAAAAAATCATTTTTCATTATTCATTCAATAATCTTTTTTTTTTAAACTATTTAACCCTTAACTGTCCACGGTGCGCCAGAAGGAGGTTTAAATAAAAATGAATTGGCACTTAAAAATTCCTTTTGATTATGGTTCTAAGATGAATAAAAAAAACTTTTCTCAATAGGTTTTAAAATCAGCTTACGTGCCCATTTTAAAACAAATTGAGTTTTAAATATTTAAAAATAGTATTTTATGAGGAACCAGAATTTATTTAATGTATACTTATATATAGATAATAGATGTTTTAGATTTGGGTTCATATAAATTTATTAACAATGAGGTTATTTTCTTGTTTCGTTTTTATATTTAAGAGCTTCCGAACGGTATCTGAAATTCTTTGGCAAGAAGAGAGCTTTAATTATCGCTCTGAACGTGAAATAGTATTGATTTTAAAATACTTTTTTCTCGAAACACGAACACTTTTAACAAAATCAGCCAAAATCTTCTTCTTCTTCTTCTTAAATGACTTGAGGCTTAGCCAACTGTCAGAACAATAAACTTAGAAGACGAAAAAGTTCCAGAATACACTATATGCTACACTGTTGGTAATACAGGTTAGAAAACAGCAAAGTAAATCCAGCTTATTGGAAATTGAGATTGAATCAAATATATTGTTCGCTTGGAAACGGACAAGTCGAGTACAAGGAAAATGACTTTGCCATACGTTGAATCTATTCATGAATCATAATAAACTCCCATGAGAAGAATACATGTGAGAATTGAATTCAAAGCGTATAGGCCATACATTGATATATATAATTGATCTCAATAGCAATTTCTAAGTTTCAATCGGAAAAAATAACACAATGGTTGCTTAAAGAAAGACTACCGCAGTCAGGCTCCCTCTGGGCAAAGCAATGAGAGACAAACTCAAGTTGAGAGAGAAACATCAATTGTACTTGTAGCGCGGGAAAATGTCAACACCGGGTTTCAAACACTTTAAATATACTTAAACCTTGAACAAGGGGTATACAGTTAAGATATTAAACTGTCGAAGACCACAACACTACAAGGTGACACCACAAATATACAAAAGATGTTTACATAGATCTACGAAGCATTGTAAACCGCAGAGGTCACAGCACAATAACAGTGAGTCGTCTCAAACTCAGATAAAACCAGAAAAATTTATGAAAGAACACGCGGAACAGAATGAAGTAATAAAATAGATTCTCAGGATGACACAAAAAATTTTAGATATTTCACAAAAGGTTACGATGAGCGAGGGTAGAAGTCACACTCGCTTATAGAACAAAACTCAGAACTGATCAGGATTAGAACAAACTTCGAAGAACACATCAGAGAGCACGTGGTAGAACGAACGTTTTAATAAAAGGTTATATAGTTGCTTTCAGAAGCAGAACAAATCATAAGTATTTACTACACAGAACTTGACTAAGATGAACTAAAACTTGTTTGAAAAAATAATAGGTAGAACAAAATCGATTAAAAATGCATGGAGTGCCGGAACATATTCCGTCCGGTCACTACCGCTGCCAAGTTAGAACTCCAGCCAAAATCCTCATCTTATAAATTTCCTAAATCCAAAAGACTGTACGAATCCATAGAAAAACATGGTTGCAAAACAAAAAGTAGAAAAGTAATCTAATAACAGCTGCGACTTTGTGCGCCCTGCATGCTGCTGCCATCTGACGGCGGCAGGAGGTAATGAACCCCTCATTATATTACTTTTCGTTTTGCAATCGTGTTTTTGTATGGATTCGCATAATCTTTCGGAATTAGGAAATTTATATAAGATAAGGATCTCTAGCTGCTTTTGTAAAAAGTGTCCGTCTTTCGAGAAGAAAGTATTTTAAAATCAATGTTTATCATTTTCACGTTTAGTGCCGTTTTTATAGAGCGATAACACAGCCCCACAAAAAAAAAGTGTTGTGCGCGGCAGACCAGACTAGTCATTTCCTATGTATTTTGACGCGCTGAACACGAATCCGAAGTCCGTTTTGCTCCATCAAGTCAGGATTTTTTTCTAACCTCCAAAAACTTGTCGGATTTTGAGAGGTAGGCTATTTTTTTTTTAAATTGATGGATTTACTTCAAACTTGGTATCTAGGGGTTTTTTGGGTCGCTGATGACGAATTTGAAGTTAGATTTTCAAAACTAGAAATGGAAATTCTTATATACATAAGTAAGGTATTCACGTCTTTTTATGGTAGCGCACTCTTTTGTCCACAAAGGATCTGTGTAATGGTTTTCTTTTCAAATTGGTGCCTCCAGGTACAATATTCCTTTTCAGCATCCAACAGTAGTCGGACATCATATTTACATCCCATCTTCCTTGATAACGACGCTCAAATTCTTTCAGATCTTGATGGAATCGTTCTCCTTGTTCTTCACTGTAATCTCCCAAATTTTCAGGGAATTGATCCCGATGCGAGTCTAAGTAATGCAACTTTATGCTCATTAAGCATCCTAACTTACCAAAGTTTTTAATCATATCACTAACTATTTGCTCCCAATTTTCACTCTTGTGATTACCCAGAAAATTTCCGACAACTGCTTTGAAACTAAGCCATGCGGCTTTCTCCTTTTTATTCATCTTGGTGATAAACTGCTCATCTTTTAACAATTTGCGAATACGTGGTCCGTCGAAAACCCCTTCTTTTAGTTTCGCATCAGAGATTTCTGGAAACTTTTGTTCCAGGTATTTCAAACAGTTTCCTTTTTTATCTAAGGCTTTGACAAACTGTTTAATTGCTCCTAGTTTCGTGTGTAAGGGCGGAATTATCACCTTTGAAGGGTCGATATCGTCCGCCATATTAGAGCCGCCATTTTGAATTTTGAAAATCTAACTTCAAATTCGTCATCAGCGACCCAAAAAACCCCTAGATACCAAGTTTGAAGTAAATCCATCAATTTTTTAAAAAAAATAGCCTACCTCTCAAAATCCGACAGGTTTTTGGAGGTTAGAAAAAAATCCTGACGTGATAGAGCAAAACGGACTTCGGATTCGTGTTCAGCGCGTCAAAATACATAGGAAATGACTAGTCTGGTCTGCCGCGCACGACACTTTTTTTTTTGTGGGGCTGTGTTATAATTAAAGGTCTCTTCTTGCCAAAAAATTTGAGAGACCATTCGACTCTCTTAAATAAATTTTGTCACTCTTAAAATCGTTCTTTTAACATTATAATTTAATTTTTTTAAATTGGACACAAACACTACAGCAATATAATTATTTATATGTAAAATTGAAAATAAGTAATTATTTTATCATTTATTAAAGTATTTATTAGATTAAATAAATTTTGATTCCCCATAAAACACTGTTTTTATATAAAAACTCAATTTTATTTAAATCGGGCACGTAAACTGATTTTAAAAACTACTGAGAAATGTTTGTTATTCATCTAAGAATCATAATTAAAAAGAATTTTTAAGTGCCAATTCATTTTTATTTAAACCACCTTCTGGCGAACCGTGTTCACCATGGGTCCAGTAGACCCGAGCATTTTTTCTCGCTCAAATTAATTGAATATTTTTTATATTTTAATATATTAATTTGACATATTGGGAATTTTCCAAGTTTTTTGATACAACTAATTCGATACCAAAAGAATAAATTAGCTTCAAATATTAATAACTATAATTTTTTAATTTTAATCTAAAAATTCTCTTTTTTATAAATCCGTTTACATGTAATAAATAAATAATGAAAAAAAAGTAAATTATTTAACGATTTGAGAAAAAAATCGAAAAAAAAATACTTACCAAGAACATGTTGAATAACATAATTTCCATATTGATCTTGAATAAGTTGATCGGTGGCTGAATGAAGTTCCTGAAGAATTCCCTGTGTCTGCTCGGGTGTACAATGCTCCAAAATACGTTGAATAACACGACATCCATAAGGATGTGTACTGAGGGAATAAACCTGTCCAGCAAAGGCGCCAATCACAAATTGTAAAGCTCGCGGTTCCACACATTCGATGCATTTTTGAACAACATGATTTCCATTTTGATCTTTTACACATTTAAGAACATGACCATCAAGTTCGCGTACAATTTCCTGTTGTTGCTCTGGTCCAATTGATTCCAATGCCTTTTGAATGACGCGACATCCATACATTTGCAATGCCAACGGTAAAACGTGTCCTCGTACCTAAGAGCAGAAAAAAAAACATTCTGATTTATTTATACGAGCAAAAAAAGATGACAATAATCCAAAAAAAAGTGAGGAGAAACATTTCAGAAATGCATATAGACATCAATTTTTCAATCAGTTGACACGCAAGACTCATCAGTAAAAAAGGCATATTTTTTTTATTTATTATACACGTATTTTTATTAATATTTTGCATAAATATTTTTTCGTCATTTTTTTTTTTTATTTCCTCAGTAATTTTATATATTGTCAACGGGGGCTATTCTACTCACCCAGGGGCTATTATACTCAGTGACAATTTTTAATTAATAAAATTTTTAAACTTGAGGCTTGGTGTAAATATTATTTAATAGTTTTATTATAGAGGACACTAAATGTCATTACAGGTTTGTCACGAAAGACTGATTTTAAAATTCTGTGACTTTTCCAGGTTTTGTGGACAATTTAAAAAAAAATTCCAAAATCAAATAATAAATTTAATTTGATTAATTTTTTTGCTAATTACGCCAAAAAATAAAGAAAATTTCATTTAAATAAACAATAAAATATTCTGTAAATTTATTTTTTGTAAGAAACGAAAAATGAAATCATTCAAATTAAAAATAATGATTTTTTTCTGTTTTGATGTTAATCGAATTTCTATTTAACCAGATTTTATAAAGTAAATTTCATAATGAATGGAACTTTCTTAACGAAGAATTTTTTAATTGATTTTTCATTTAATACAATTTCTATTTATCTGATTTTTCATATTATCTATTTTAGCGAATTTTTATTTAACAGAATTTTTGATTAACAAAATTTATATGTAACGGAATTTCCACATATACCTATTTATTTCAAGAAATTTCTAATTAAGAGAATTTTTATTTAATTGAATTTTACTTATCTAAATTTTTATTTAATCGAATTTTCACTTATCTTAATTCTTATTTAGCAGAACTTTTATTTAGGCAAATATTTATTTCAACTAATTTTCAATTAATAGATTGAATTCGCTTTTATAAAAACTCTATACGAAACAAAAATTCGATTGAATCAGGCTTCGGATTGACTTTAAAGAACAAAAAAGTCTCTTAAAAAATTTACCTAAGGTCAAATTCTTCATAAATTGAGTGAAATAATTAAAAAAAAAAATTAGAAAATAAATATATTTTCAAAAATTATTCCAAACTAAATTTGTTTTATGTACTACTTTATCATATAAAAACTCAATAACAAACCAAGTATTTCTGATAAATAAAATAAAATTCTTTATTAAGAATAATTCATGAAAATATTTTTAAAAAATGTTATTTAAAATATTTAAAATTTTCAACATCTTTGAAATTGAAAAAAAATTCAAGATTCTTTTTTCTGAACCATTTTTAAGATTTATTTATTTGTTTATTAATTTAAAGTAAATTTATAGAAATTTTTTTTCTGATTTTCAATAAAATTTTTTAGTTAAAATTGTCACAAACTTTGAAAATCAGTTTTATAAAAACTTATATTTATGGTCAATTCTTGGACAATTGTGGAGTCAAATAACGAAAATAATTTTTAATTTAGAAGAATTTTTAATATTTTAACTGATAAAAATTTGAAACAGGAATCTAATGCAAAAATAAATTTTATTAAATTATTCAAAACTAATTTTTTTGTTTATGTCTTTTTTAGCATATAAAAATTCAAAAAAAAAATCGATCAGTTATTTTTTACACTCCAAAACCGAAATAAATCTCCGTTTATCCGAAAAAAGTTGCATTCATTGAAAAAAATAGAAATAGTCATAGAATCCGTTGAATTAGTATTAATTTATAAACTTTATAATGTTTAACTTTCAAATTTGTTAAACAATTGTTAGAACAATTTTTTTCATTTCCTATTTTTTTTATCGTTATCTAGACTATCTGCAGAAAAGATTTTATACAACTAAAGTTGTATAAAAAAATGTTGAGAATTTTGTTTTTTTTTTTTTAATAATAGCCCCGATTGATAAGTAAAAACAATTTTTTATCAAAATTTTCTAAGACATAAATTCTGTTAAATCGAAATTGTATTATTTGAAAATTTGATGTATTAGAAAATATGCTTTATATGTATAACTTCAGTTAAATAAAAATTCTAATAAGTCCAAATTTAGTTAAATAGAAATTCTTCGATATGAAAATTCGGTTTATTATAAAATCCACAAAAAAATTCTGCAAAATTAATTAATAATCAAAGAAGTGTTTAAAAATAAAATTAATTAAAAATTTACTTTCCATAAGCCAATTTTTTTGAAATTACATTTTATTCTGATTAATTTGTAAACAAAAAAAAGTTGATTCCAACTGGATGACAAGAAAAAAAAAATACGTGTATTTTTAAAAAAAAAAAACTAACCAAAAATCTTCAATACAGAGAAAACAATTTTAAAAAACGATTTTTAAAATTGTTAAAATAAATAAACTGCGTACCTTTTGCGCAAGTGTTGATTTTTGTTCGGGTGTTCCAAATTCAAAGAACTTTTGAATGACATAATTGCCGAATACATCAGTCATGAGGGAATATGCTGAGGCAAGAATTTCTTGAAAGACAAGTTGTTTTTCACTAGCAGAAGCACGTTCCAATTTTTGTTGTATAAAACGCGATCCATGTTGATCTTGACTAAATTCAACTATATGATTCGCCAAGTCACGCAATTGTAAACTTGGAAACCTGTAAATTAAAAAAAAAATTATTCATCCCTCTTCATTTTTAATAAAAAAAAAACAGAATTATTACAAAAATAAATTTTACACTTTCCCTGACATTTCTCTAATAATTAAAATTTTTATTAAAATTAACGAATTATAGTAGAAATCGTAATAAATTAAGTCAATTAAAATTTGGACAAATTGAAACTTAAATTATTAAAATTAGGATAAATTTCATTTTGTCAAATTGCAACTTATATTAATTAAAAATTGATAAATTAAAATTCGGATAATTTAAAACTTGAATCAATTAAAATTTGGATAAATTAAAATTCTGATTATTTGAAACTTAAATAAATTTTTAAATTTAAATTTAAATTTAATTTTTAAATAGATTAAAAATTCGTTAATTTAAAATGTCGATCGATTTTCCTAACAAAAAAATTCCCTAACTTCCCTGACCTTGAAAAAGCTAGTAATTAAATAATTTTTTTTTGATGTTTTTCAGTTTCAGTGTAAAAGGGATAATAGTAAAAAAAAAAAGAGAGAATAATAACCTATTATTTCGAAAGTCCTCAAGTAGACGTGATCTTCCTCCTGTGCTTTTTTCGCCAACACCACTGGTACCACCTCTACCGGGTTTGCCAACCAAATTTGGAAACAGAGAACTACTGGATCCAAAAACACCATTTGCTGTGAGAGTTGGTACTGTGCTTGTTCGGAATTTTGCTTCTGCTCCTGGTGCAGCGGAAACTCTATTTGTTCCACCAACTAAACCGCCTAAGGAACCTCCAATTGATGGTGGCGGTGTCAAGGACAATCCCAAAGGACTCGGAGATGCTGTCACTGTTCCTGTTTAAAAAATACAAAAATAGAAACCAATTTAATTAAGTTTTTCGCAATATTTCACATTTTGGCTTTATTTTATGACATTTATTATAAACGTAAACAGTGGTTGCCACAAAAATATTATTTTGTTTTCCCCTGATTTCCAGTCAAAAATTAAATTTTTTTCCCTGCCCCAATGAAAATATTTCAAGAGGTTTTCAAAAGCACGCCTTTTTTTTTATTTTTTAAAATTGAATTATCAAAAAAATATATTAACTTGAATTACTTGCATAATCAATTATTTTCAATAATTTAAAACAAATTCTTAGAAAATTATGATTCAAAACAGTTTTCAATTGAAAATTTTATAAAATTCAATTATTGTCTACAATTATTCAAAAAAATTTCACCAATTCAAAATGAAAGTTTCAATTAATAATCTCCTGAAATTCAATTATTATTTCTAAAAATTAAAACTCGAACTCTTCTAAAATACAATTATTTTTAAATTTTCTATCTAAAATTGAAATTGTTGAATAATTTAATTTTAATAATTTTTATCAACATTTTCGAAAATTCAATTATTTAAAACATTTTTCAATTCAAAATTCTCCAAAGTATAATTACTCTTTACAGCTTATAAAATATCTACAGAAATTCCAATTTACGAAAATTTTCATTAAAAATCTCCTGAAATTCAATTAGTTGCAAAAATTTTACCTTTTGCTCTTCCAAAACTCAATTATATCTAAAAAATTTAACTTCAATTTCTTTTTCCATTAATTATTTTTCATAACTTTAATCAAGTTTTGCAAAAATTCAATTACATAAAACGTTTTTTAATTATTAATTCTTTAAAATTAAATTTTTTTAATAAAATTTTTAAAAAATTTCTATAATTCAAGATTATTAAAATTTTAATTGAAAATTTCAATAATAGAAAATTCAATTTTTTAAACCATTTATCAATTCAAATATTCTCTAAAATTCTCTATAATTCAATTATTTCTAAAAATTTTATTTTAAAGTCTTAGCAAAATTAATTTTTTAAATTACTTTTATACAGCTTTCAGCAATTCAGGGAAATAAAAAGTTTTTTTAATTTAAAATACTCTAAAATTCAATTATTTAAAGTTTGCAAGAAAAAAGAAAAATGTTATCAATAAAAATTTATGAAAGTTTCAATTTATTATATTCTGAAATTTAATTACTTCCACAAGAATTTTAACTCCTACTCTTACAAATTTAATTAGTAATTGAATAATTAATTGAATTTTAATTCAATTTTAAAATTTTTTTCATAAAATTTTTTATATAATTCTTTGTTTAATTAATTATTTCAAGGGTTTTAATCCAATTTTTTAAAAAATTTAACTATTTAAATTGTTTTTTAATTAATGTTTATATTTACAACAAAATTATAATTTTTGATATCTGAAAAAATGCAATAAAATCTAAAAATATTAAATTCGTAAAAAATTCATTACTTAAAATTTATAAAAGTTGGAATTAAAAATCTCCTGAAATTCATTTTTTTCTAAAAATTTTAAATCAAACTCTTCCAAATTCATTTATTATTAAAATTTTAATTAAAAATCTTTTGAAATTCAATTATTTCACAAATTTTCATTTAGAATTAATTTTTTTTTTTTCAATAATATTTTAATGAAATTCTTCGAAAATTAAATTATTTAAAACATTTTCCGAAATTCTGAATTTGAATAATATGCATAAATCAGATTCAAAAAATTTTCTTCTCTTTAATATACAGTTTTTCAACAATTGAGGGAAATAAAAAGTTTTTTAATTAAATATACTCTAAAAATCAATTATTGTTTAAATTTTGTAAAAAAATGTTATCAATTAAAACTTATGAAAGTTTCAATTTAAAATCTTCTGAAATTTAATTATTTCCAAAAAAATTTTAACTCGAACTGTTTCAAATTCAATTAGTAATTGAATAATTAATTGAATACTAATTCAATTAAAAATTTTGTTCCCAAATTTTTATCTATATAATTCTTTGTTTAATTAATTATTTTAAGAGTTTTAATCCAATTTTTCAAAAATTCAATTATTCAAATCGTTTTTTAATTAATGTTTATGTTTACAACAAAATTATAATTTTTGAACTCTCAAAAAATAAAATTATTTCTAAAAATCTTAACTATAACACCATTAAAATTAAATTATTTAGAACATATTTCAGTTGTAAATTCTCTAAAATTCAATTATTTTCTGAAATTTGTAAAAAAAATTCAAATTTAGAAAAGTGTCAATTAAAAATCTCCTGAAGTTCAATGATTTCTAAAAATTTTAAATCAAACTTTTCTTTTTCTTTTAAAATTTTAATTAAAAATCTTCTGAAATTCAATTATTCAACAAATTTTCATTTAAAATTATTTTTTTCTTTTCAATAATATTTAAATGAAATTCATGGAAAATTTAATTATTTAAAATATTTTCCGAAATTCTAAATTCAAATAATGTGCATAAATCAGATTTGAAAAATTTTCTTTTTTTAATCTAACTTTAAATTATTTTTGAAAATTTGTTCTGAAATATGAATTGAAATCTTTGAAAATTTGTCGCAGTTCTGTTCGGTGGTTTGAAAAGAAAAATTTGTTGAAAATATTCTTATTAAGGAATTAATAAATTTTATTTAATTTCCAATAATAATAAAAATAATAATAATAATAATAACAAATATTTATCAACTAATTAAATTTATTGAAAATAAAAAATGGACTTTTTAGATTTTTCTTGTAATGTAAATCGACTAAAATGACTTTTTCTTTTCTTTCAAAATTCGATCTGAGGCCTAAAATTATAAAAATGTAAGACAATAATTTTTAGTAGTAAAAGTTTAAATTGAAAATTTCAAAAATTATCATTTTAGTAGCATTTTTAGAAATTTTTGATATTTTGCCAGTACTTTTCATAAAATTTCCTAATTTTTCCCTGACTAATCTCACTAATTCCTGATTTTTTCATGATTTCCTTGTCTTTCCTGAACTGTAGCAATGGATAAAATTTTTAGAAATAATTGAATTTTTGGAGATTTGTTACGGAAATTACTGTAAATTAGAGTAAATGAAAATTATTAAAAAAAATTTTATACAATAATTGAATTTTAGAGAATTTTAAATTGAAAAATTGTTTTAAATAATGGAATTTTTAAAGATCATGATTAAAATTATTGAAAATAATTAATTTTGTGAAGTATTCTAGTTAATATTTTTTTTGAATAATTCAAATTTGTTAAGATGTTTATATTTTATACTTAAAAAAACGTTGTATTTATCTGAAAAATTTTTTTTAAACGTCGAAAAAGTCACATTTTATTAACATAAGTTGAAATTAGTCGCATTCATTAAAAAAAAGTCGATAAACGTCGAACAATCTGAGGCTTGCAAAATTTAATTTAATAGAAATTCTATCCAAAATTCTTGATAAGTATTAAGTTTTCCTTGGCTTTGATGGAGTTTGAATCAAAATTCTTCAACTACATAATATGTTAGATATTTATTTGATAAATAATCATTCTATCAAAATATTTGTTATAAATTCATTAAATTTTTGGTAGACGGTAGAAAATGAATATGTTTAAAAAAGTATTCGCATAAAAATCAAAGCTTTATTAACTAATTTTTTTCTGTGAAAAATAGAGAAAATTTTTAGTTACTTTTTTTTAAATAAATAATGTTTCTCCCTCAAAAGTATGACCTGTTTCTGAAGAATTATCTTTCTATAGATATTTATAATGAAAATAGGTTTGAATGATCATTATTTGAGTTTCTCGGTATGTAGTATATAACAATGCATAAAATTTTAGCGGCTGTTCACGTTTCTCTGATGCTAGTCGTATTGAGTCAATTGTTAAAGTTCAATATAGAACTTTAATGAAATTCTCACGTCTGAATTTTGTAAAGTTCATATCACCAATAAACTAATTAAGTTTTTTTTTAAAAAAAAATTATTCAAATTATTTAAACTAAATCAAATTATTCAAAAATTCTAATAAAAATTATGAATAAACGTCTTATTTTTTGAAATTAAAAATACATTAATGTTCTATAATCACTTTTTAATTTATTTCAACAGAATTTGAGATCCGATACAATTTTTTAAAGTAAAAATTTTAACATTTGAATTTTATGCGAAATTCATGCGCCCTCAAAATTAAAATTCATTGAATATATAATAAAGACAACTATATGTTGAAAAATAATTTTTTAGTTTTCAATGTTTCTTTCGGTCTTTAATGAATAAATATTTTAATTTAGTTATCTTCATTTCAAATTTCAGGCAAATTATATGTACATAATTTTTTTTAATTCCAAATTTGAGTAACTTACCGAGTGCACCATAACTTTGAGGCCATTTAGCACGACTGTATTCTAAGCTTGGACTGAATGCTGATGTATTTCTGTCAAAAGAATCCCTTCTTCCTGTAGATGATGTGCTGAGACCTAATCCTAAAAAAAAAAACATTTTATTCATTTAAATTGAAACAGAAAATTTCTGTATAAACATTTTTTTTACATTTATTAAAAGACAATATATTTTCATTTTTATATCGAATAATAATACATGCATTACTTTTTTACATATTAATATATTCACATTGAAAAAAAAGTTAGTTTTTCCTTTAATCCTTAACTGGCACAATTCGAACGTAAATACCACAACGGGTCTGCTGGACCCGACGTATTCAAACGTATATTGTAAAGCCGATATTGAATATTTTTGAACAACAATTTAATCTAAGGTAACTTATGATGTGTTTTTTTAAAATTTCAGTAGTTTTACAGGGATTCATTTATTTTAAGTTCAAAAAAATTGTAAAAAATAAAAACGAAAAATTGCGTGTTTTTACTTGAAAATTCATGAGTTATTTAAATTTTAATATTATTCTTTAAGAAAAAAAATACCACAACAGCAGGACTTGCAAAAAAGGTATTTATTTTGCAGAATAAACTGTTTAGGTTAAAATTAAAAATTTATAATTATTAATATTTAAAGCAAATTTATTCTTTTGTATCAAATTAGTTGTATGATAAAACTTGTAAAATTACTAATATGTCAAACGAATATATTAAAATATAAAAAATATTCAAATTCAATTAATTTGAGCGAGAAAAAATGCTCGGGTCTACTGGACCCATGGTGCCAGTTAAGGGGTAAAAATAAAATTTTGATTATAAAATTAATACAATTATTTAAACAAATAAGAATCTAAAAATAAGTAAATAATACGTATATAATATCATTTGTCATTCACATAATTAAAAATTAGTTTCATAAATTTGTTAACTACACAAAGTTTTATTTGGTTCTTCTATAGCTGAAGTATAAGAAGTGAAATGTTTATTTAGTGTAAATGATTACATCACGAAAGGAAATGGAGACATAAAAAATGAAAGCATGACTGTCATTTTGAAGAATTTGTTGATTGCAGTTTTTATAAAAAAAAAACACTTTTTAAGTACGAACAGAATGAATTTTTTTTTTTTAAATAAAACAATAAATAAATTATTTTTTTCTACTTTTGACAAACAATTAAATTTGATAAATAACAAGATTCTAAATTCAATGTAATAATTGTAAAATAAAAATATGTTGCATATTTGTCAAAATTCGTATATAAATGGATTTTCTCCACATGAATATTCAATAAAATTTATCAATACAAATTTTCGAATAATTCAAAATTTATAATTTTCAATTTCAATTCATTCGAATGTTGTTTGAAACAGAATTTTCATTTTTTTTTCAATTATTATTTCTTCGAATATGCTTTGAAGAGAATTTTTATTCGATTGAATATTAATTTAATTGATATTCTATATTTAAATGAATAATTGAAATTTTGTAAAATTTTATATTAAAAATTCGATATTTTGTTGCAAATAAAAAAAAAATTACAAATTATTATTATTAATTTTTTATTCACAATTAGTTTTATTTTTAAGCCTGCCGAAAAGAAAATTTGTAAAATTTTGTAAAAGTATACAAAATGAAGAAAAATAAATCATTATTGTATTACAAATTCAAAAATACAAAATTTCGGACGAAAATTTTCATACTTTTCAAATCCTACTATGGCTGCTGCTATCTTTGGTACAAATAAAAAAAAAATCCGTTTGAAACTTCTTTTGGAAATTTAATAGCTGAAACTTTTGTTATGTAAAAATTCGTATAAAAAGAAAATCTGTAAAATGCTAACTCAAAAACTGAAAATTCGTCTAAAAAATAATTATTTCTAATAAAATTCGTTTAGATAAAAATTGTAATTAGTGATTTTTAAGGGAAATTCATGCGCCCCGACATAATTTCATTACTTAGAAATTATTTTTAAACGAATTTTTCTTTGTTCAAATTATTATTTAACAGAAATTCTCTGCAACCAAAATCTGTTTATTACAGAATTGTTATTTAAACGAATTTTCATTTTGCAGAATTTTTACTTTATCAAATTTGAATTTCTCCGAATTATTATTTACTCGAATTTTCATTGGACAGAATAGTCATTTAAAGGAATTTTTTTTATCTTAGTAAAGGAATATTGGAAAGAATTTTTTTCTATCCAAATTTTGATTTAATCAAATTTACATTTTACAAAATTCTTAAAACTCTGAATTTTAATTTTACAGAATTTTCAATTGTTCGATTCAATAAATCTGATAGAAAAATTCGCGTCCAATTCTTTTTGTCGTTTGATTTTTCGGGCATTTCCAATTTCGGACAAATGGAAATTCGACGTTTTAAAAATTCTGTAAACTAAAATGTAAATTCAAAAATAAATTAAAATTGACAGAATTCTCATTCAATCGAATTTAATGTGATTGGAATTTTTTTAAATGACAGAAATTCTTATGCGTTTCGTATTTGTTGGTGGGTAAAAAAAAAAAAAGAAAAACAAAAGCATTATCGATGTTTTTGACAGATGAATGAAAATGTATGCCCAGATGAAAATTAAAAAGCCGTGTGTTCGAAGCAATACCTGTTGTCTGAAGTTGCGCTGGTGAGCCGAGAGCACCAAGTGGAGAGCCACCATAGCCCAAAGCTGCAAGACCAGCGGTCAATCCCGATCCTTGTTGTTGCGCTTGTTGCACGGCTACTGCCTGAGCTTGAGCAACCACTGCTGCTGCACTGCACGCCGCCAGACCTGCACCAAAAGCCCGCAACCCACACAACCCAACTTAATACGAAAAGTAACCAGCAATTTTGTTAACGACCAAATACCGTCTAGCATCGTTAAAATCTATTTCACACAGACTCACAAACACGCAATTTATTTCAATGCAAAAACATTGGGACGCATTAATATCGCACTCAATTCATTAATTATCAAATTACATTTTTTTTTCAAGAGTCAGATTGCATGACTTTTATCGACTTTTCTTTTTCCATGAATGCGACTAATTTCGACTTATTTTAATAAAATGTTGACTTTTTCGAATTTGAAAAACATTCTTTAGATAAACACAATTTTTTTTTAGTATTATATATAAATATCTTTACAAATTTGAATTATTCAAAAAAAAAAAAAAGTATTAACTAGAATACTTCACAAAATTAATTATTTTCAAAAATATTAATCACGATTTTTAAAAATTCCATTATTTAAAACAATTTTTCAATTTAAAATTCTCTAAAATTCAATTATTGTATAAAATTATTATATAATAATAAAATGCTTGGTCTGTCCTTCTGTCCTAACTTGAAGTTGACCTTTTCTGATTTCACGTTTTTTTTGAATAGTAATCTTATGACGTGTCAAATTTTGACAATTCTTTTTCTCATTTTTGCCAAATTTGTATAATTGTGTTTCCAAATTTCGGAATAAGTTTCTTTAAAATTCCAAATTCCAAAATTCAATTCACGAAGCTGAAGTACACAACGTTTACCAACGAAATTTTTTTTAAAGTTGTATATTCATTCAAAAATTCTATACAAATACAAAAAATTTATGATGAGACAAAAGATGCGCCAGGAAATTTCGTACAAGATAGTAATTTGAAAAAAATTTATTTTTAAAAATTAATTTTTAAGGTACCAGGGGCCAAAGAATACCTGTTAAATATTAATTATAAAAACACAGGCCTCGAATCAACTTAAAGACAAAAAAAGTCGTTTTAGTCGATTTATATTCCAAAAAAAAGTGGATTTGTTTTTTATTTTAACAAAAATATTTTACAGATTTTTAAATAAAAAAATTTTTTTTTAATAATAATCCTTTTCGAAGGGTTAAAGTTGAAATTTTTAGAAATAATTAAATTTCAAAAGATATTGTTAATTTTCAAACAATTATTAAATTTTACAGAAATAAAAATAATTTATCAAACAATTTTTGGAAAACATTTTTTAAATTTAATTGAATTTTCAAAGATTTAAAATTGAGATTTTTGAAATTAATTGAAACTTTAAGTGTTTTGTAATTAAAATTTTAGATGATTTCACTAAAAATTTATTAGAAAATGCGGACAAAATACAATAATTTGAAAATCATTTTTAATTGAAAAATGGTTTCAGATAGTTGAAATTTCAAAGAATATTATTAAAATAGTTAAAAATAATTGAATTTCCTTAGAGTTATAATTGAAATGATTAAATTTCAATAAAAAAATTTTCAATGGAAAATTTTAGAAATAATTAATTTTTTGATGCTTTTAAATTCAAAATATTGAAAATTCAATTAATTTTGAATTCAAATTTTTGAGAATAATTAAATTTTATTTGATTTTAAATTTGAAAAATAATTGAATTTCAGTTCATTTTGAATTGAAAATTTTGGGAAATAATTGAATTTTAATTGAAATTTTGGATAATAATTTAATTTAAGTTAATTTTTGATTGAAAATTTGGATAATTAATTTTGAATAGAATTTTAGAAAATAATTGAATTTTATTTCATTTTAAATTGAAAACTTGGTAAATAATTAAATTTTAAATTGAAAATTTTGGATAATTATTGGATTTTGAATTGATTTTGAATTAAAATTTCGGGTAATAATTAAATTTTAGTTTATTTTGAATTGAAATTTTTAAAAAATAATTCAATTTTATTGTGATATTCTTTTTTAAATTATAAACAATTGTTAAATTTCATAAAAATTTTAATTGAAAAATAATTTTGATATAATTGAATTTGTGATGTATTTCATTAAAATTATTAAAAATAATTAATTTAGTGAAAAATCATTTTAGTTCAAAATTTGTTAAATAATTGAATTGAAGAAGATCTGAAGAAGATCTACATTTTATACCAAAAAAATGTATTTTATTTACATTTTTTTTCAAATGTAAAAAAAATAATATAATAATATTCTAATAAATTAAATTATTATTGATAATATTAATCTTTAATTTCTATATAACAAACAATTAAACACTCAATTTGGCGCGCTTGCGCGAGTTTAATTTTGCTAGTTTTTTTTAAATAATTTTCATTTACTCTAATTTACAGTAATTTCAGTAAACATAAACATTAATTAAAAAACGATTTGAATAATTGAATTTTTGAAAAATTGGATTAAAACTCTTAAAATAATTAATTAAACAAAGAATTATATAGATAAAAATTTGGGAACAAAATTTTCAATTGAATTAATATTCAATTAATTATTCAATTACTAATTGAATTTGAAACAGTTCGAGTTAAAATTTTTTTTAAAATAATTAAATTTCAGAAGATTTTAAATTGAAACTTTCATAAATTTTAATTGATAACATTTTTTTTACAAACTTTAAACAATAATTGACTTTTAGAGTATTTTCAATTGAAAAACTTTTTATTTCCCTCAATTATTGAAAAACTGTATTAAAGTAATTAAAAAAATTAATTTAGCGAAGAATTTTAAATAAAATTTTTCGAAACAATTGAATTATAGAGAATTTTAAAGAATTTTCAATTGAAAAATGTTTTAAAACATTGAATTTTTGATTTTTGAAATTTTCTATTAAAATTTTAATAAACTCTGAATGATTGAAATTTTTTAAAATTAAAGTTATTAGAAACAATTAATTGCAAAAGAAATTGAAGTTAAAAATATCTATTTTGTAAAATTAATCCAAAAATAACAATAATAAAAATTACTATTTTGTAACAGAAAAAAATACGTTAATTCGAAATAATAAATTCAAAAAGAAATTGAAGTTAAAAATTTAGAAATAATTGAGTTTTTGGAAGAGCAAAAGTTAAAATTTTTGGAACTAATTGAATTTCAGGAGATTTTTAATGAAAATTTTCGTAAATTGGAATTTGTGTAGATATTTTATAAGCTGTAAACAGTAATTATACTTTGGAGTATTTTGAATTGAAAAATGTTTTAAATATTTGTTTTTTCAAAAATCTTGATTAAAATTATTAAAATTAAGTGATAAAAAAAATTTGACAGTTAAAAACAATTAACGTGCAAAATAAATAATTTATATTTAATAAAATTTGGATTAATTCTATTTATCAACGTTTGAAACATTTATAGTTTCAAATTTGGGTAAATTAAATTTTGGAAAAATTAAAACTTACAACAAAATTTTGTTAAATTGAAATTTAGATAATTTGAATTTTTAAATCAATTAAAATAATAGATAAATTAAAATTCGAAAAAATTTTAAACTTAAGACAATTAAAATTTAAATAAATTGAAATTGAAGTTAATTAAAATTTTGGTAAAATTAATTTTTCGATAAATTGAAAGTTCAACCAATTAAAATTTGAATAATTTTAATCTTAAATCAATTTTGAATTTGAACAAATAGAAGTTGAGATAAATTAAAACTTAAATCATTTAAAATTTGAACAAATTGAAATTCGTATAATTTAAAATTAAAATAAATTAAAAATTTGAATTAATTGAAATTCAAGTAATTTGAAGCTTAAATATATTAATCTTTAGATATATTGAAATTTCGTTAATTTGAAGTTTTGATCAATTGAATTTGCATTTGATTAAAATAATTAGAATTAATGAATTTCATAGAATATTCATACGCCCCCAAAACATTGTTAGAATTGACAATAATTACTTTTTTTTAGTCACGATTTATTCAATTTTACATTCCATCAATGAATATGAATATGCTTAAATGTATGTACACATATACAAAAAAAAAAAAAAATAATAACAGACAAACAAACATGTATATGGAAACAAATGAAACATTTTTTTTTTAGTATGACGTCAGAGAATATGTACCTTGACTTGATGATTTTCTTTTTGTTTTATAAATACAGAACGTTTCATAATCGAATATGTTTTTGATCTTATTTCCAAAGACAATTGGATAAAAATTATTTGCAAATCTGTACTCCAAGAGTCAGCGAAAATATTTAATTAAATGTTGCTTTATTTGCAATTTTTAAAAGAAGTCGTTCTTTTTTCTTCTCTCTTACATTCGTGAATTTAATAAAATTGATGAAAACTTTTGTCAAATATAAAATTATTATTTTAGAGAAATAATAAATATTAGAAATTAGGAAACGTTCTTTGGAAAAAGTAAAAGAAAAAAAAAGTGAATTTTTAATTTGCTTACCATTAAATATAAGTTGGATTCAAGAGTTCTGAAAAGGTAATAATTTGAAGAAAAAAAAAAGTGATAATTTGAATTTAAACTCACCTAAACATTCTCCTGATGCATTACTGTGAGACGTTGGGGTAGGTTGTGAATAAATACTAGGCGGTGGAGGTGCTTGAGGGCCTTGAGGTGGCTGCGATGGTGCTCTATTAACCAAAACTGGTGCCGGACTGACAAGACGCATTGGTGTTGCTGCCGATCCTAAGCCACGCACTCCGCCAACCATAATCGACCCATTTTGACCCACTTCATAGTAAGCGGGTATAACTTGGTATTGACCTTGCACCTGCAGGAAAATTCATATATTAAAATTAATATAGAAAATTTTGTCAATACTATTGTGAATTATAATTAAAATAATAATAATAATAAATTAAAATGAATTTTTAGCCAATTACGCAAAAAAATAAAAAATATTTCATTTAAATAAACAATAAAATATTCTCTAAATTAATTTCTTGCAAGAAACGAAAAATGAAATCATTAAAATTAAAAATAATGATTCTTTCTATTTTTCGATGTTAATCGAATTTCTATTTAACCAGATTTTATAAAGTAAATTTCATAATGAATGGAATTTTCTTAAGGAAGAACTTTTTAATTAATTATTCATTTAATGAAATTTCTATTTATCTGTTTTTTCATTTATCTACTTTAGCGAATTTTTATTTAACAGAATTTTTTTTATTAACAAAATTTATATGTAACGGAATTTTCACAGATATTTATTTCAAAGAATTTCTAATTAATGGAATTTTTCTATTGATTTAATCTATTTTGATCTGAATTTTTATTTAATCGAATTTTCACTTATCTTAATTCTTATTTAGTAGAAATTTTATTCAGCCAAATATTTATTTGAACTAATTTTCAATTGATAGATAGAATTCGACTTTATGAAAAATCTATACGAAATAAAAACTCAATTGAATCAGGCTTCGGAACGACTTTAAGAAACAAAAAAGTTTCTTAAAAAATTTATCCAAGATCAATTCTTCATAAATTGAGTGAAATAATTAAAAAAAAAAGTTAGAAAGTAAATATATTTTCAAAAATTATTCCAAACTAAATTTGTTTTATGTACTACTTTATCATATAAAAACTCAATAACAAACCAAATATTTGTGATAAATAAAATAAAATTCTTTATTAAGAATAATTCATGAAAATATTTTTAAAAAATGTTATTTAGAATATTTAAAATTTTCAACATCTTTGGATTGAAAAAAAATTCAAGATTCTTTTTTCTGAACCATTTTCAAGTGTTAATTATTTCTTTATTAATTTGAAGTAAATTTATAGAATTTTTTTTCAGATTTTCCAAAAAAAAATTTCAGTTGAAATTTTCATAATCTTTGACAATCAGTTTTTTAAAAAAACTTATATTTAAGATCAATTCCTGGGAAATTGTTGAGTAGAAATAATGAAAATAATTTTTAAGTTAGAAGAATTTTCAAGATTTTAACTGATAAAAATTTTAAAAAAGGAATCTAAAGCAAAAATAAATTTTTTAAAATAATTCAAAACTCATTTTTTTAAGTCCTTCTTTATCATATAAAAATTTGAATAAATAAATCGATCAGTTTTGTTGATTTCAACTTTAAACACTAAAAAAACAGATATGCTTAAATGAAAACTTGAGATTTTATTGATTCAAATATAGGAAATTAAATGTTCAGAACGATAATTTAATTTTCAGGTTTCCAAGGTTTTCCATGACTAAAAAAAAATTTCCATGACAATTCCAGGTTTTCCAGGTCTGTGGCAACCCCTTCAATTCACCGAATTTTTATTTGTACAAATTTTTAAGACACCGAATATTCATTTATCCAAAATTACAAATGGCTGAACAAACAATCGACAAGAAAGATTTGGGCGCGATTTTTAAAATTAATCAATCACGATTTATTTGATAATTTCTAATTGGTAAATTTTAAATATTTCGCCGACATTTTTCTGTTGATTGTTTGTTCAGCCATTTGTAATTTCGGACAAATGAAAATTCGGCGAAAATTCGATCAATTAAAAATTTGTACAAATAAAAATTAGGAGAAATTAAAATTCGGTAAATTAAAATTTCTGTTATTTACAAATTCGAATCACATAAAATACGATTGATTGAGAATTCTGTTAAATCAAAATTCTCTTAAAAATTAAAACTCATGTAAATTAAATGACTATAAAATAAAAATTTTGTTAAACAAAATTTCGGTAGCTAAAAGTTTATAGTTTTTTTTGATGGAAATTTTTTGTGATTTCTGTTGCTGAAGAATTTATTAGAAATTACAGACAAAAATTGAATTCCAAAAGTTTTTAATTAAAAAATGCTTTCAGATAATTGAATTTTTGAAGAATAATATAAAAAAAAGAAAATAATGGAATTTCGAAAGAGTTATATTTGAAATTTCAGAAAGTTTTAGATGAAAAATTTTAGAAATAATTAAATTTTAGAAGGGTTTTAAATTGAAATTATTGAAAATAATTGAATTTCAAGTAATTTTGAATTGAAATTTTTTGGTAATTTTATTTGCTGTTTTTTTTTTTTTTTTAATTTTAAACAAGTATTGAATTTCATAAAATATTTTATTGAAAAATAGTTTAAAATAATTGAATTTGTGAAGAAATAAAAATTTTGTTTTTGTATGAAAATTCGGTTGAATATAAAATCTACTTTTTAAAATTCTCAAATAGAAATTCGATAATCTCTCAAAAAAAAAACTCTTCGAATAACGAGTTTAAAGTAAAGAGGTTAAATTTTTTAAAAAATTGTTAATTTTTCAATTTTTGTCATCTAACAGGAGATTTTCCTAATTTGTTTAATAATAATAATTTATATTCTTGTTAAATAAATTATTTTTAATAATGAAATTATTTTGAAATTTTAATTGTCAAACAAAAACTTTTGTGAAATCACGTTCGCTCAGTAGATGAAAATGAATATAATAATAAAAATATAATCCTTTTGAAATTTAATATTTTCAAAAATATTAAAATAATAATAATAATAATATTAAAAACAATTGAGATATCTGTTTTTAACAAAGTAACAAAATAATAATAATTATGAAAAATTTTAAACTTTTTGAAATTAATTTGATTTAAATTGTTTAATAATAACGTTCTGTAGTTATGATATTTTTAACACAATTATAAATTAATAATGAAATTATTCATTTCTCGTTTATCAAAAATATTTGTTTTAAAAATAATAAAAAAAATGGGGTTAGTTAAAAAAAATAAAACTAAATTGTTTTAAAATCATTAAATATTTTATCATTAAATTATCGCCGTTTGGGAACTAATTTAAATTAAAAAATGAATATTTTTTTGAGAAAATTATATTTTTATTAAAAAATATTAAAATAGTGATGAACGTCGAGAATCTATTTTTCATTGTGTTATTTTCACGAGATTCTTGGTTTTTTCGAAGGTTTTTCGAGCGAGACTCTCTTGACGTGCATGAGTACTTTTATTATCTAATTTTTCCTTTTTTCCTAGTTTTAATTATACTATTTCAATCTATTTTTTCCATTTTTATCTGTACGTGTTTCATTTTATTCTACAATACTCAATAAAAAGATTTTATATACTTTAAACCAAAAAATATAGTTTAGATTCTATTTTTTTTATAATTAAAATAATAATTTGTCCCAAACTTACCCCAAGTATAGGGTGTGGGACAAAAAATTAAGTTCCATTAGATCAAACAAAAATAATTTTTTTTGGTTTAAGTCTTTGAATACCGTCAAACAGAGTAATTATTTTACAAATTTAACTACTGTCTTATGTTGTGAATGCATAAATATGCTCTGAAAAATTAATTCGTTCGAATTTTCATTTGACAAAATTTCGTTACGAATTTCGTTTCGAATTTATTTTCAATCGAATTTTTATTTCTTCAAAATTATTGTGTTGTAGAAATTCCATTTAACTAAATTTTGTATGTAACATAACTTAAAGAAATTTTTATTTTACAAACTATTTATTTCATCAAATTTGAATTTGAATTTTTCATTAGATAGAATTTTCCTTCAAACGAATTTTTATTTTTTCGAATTATTTTTTTATTGATTATTAAATTGATTTTCTAAATTAGAGAATTTTTATATAATCGAAAATTCAATTCACAGATTGAATTACAATGACTGATATTTTTTACAGGGGAAAAAAATACAAATTTCCAAAAATGACGCATAATTATTACGGAATGTCCAAAAAAAAAAAATCCAAAAAATGGGTATAACTTGTAAGGAAATTAACAGATTGCTATGAAACTTGGTAAATTTGTTCCTTGCGATAAATGACATTCTTTTATTGCACAAAAATAAAAAAAAATTTAGGAAAAAGTGTAAAATTCTTACGGAATGACCCCAAAAAAAATCCAAAAAACTGTTATAACTTCGAAACAAATTATCGCATCGATATGAAACTTGGCAATTATGTCCTTTGCAGTAAATGACATCCACTAAAGGCGAAAAAATACGAATTTAGAAAACAAATGTATAATTATTATGGAATGACCCCAAAAAAATCCAAAAAACTGTTATAACTTCGAAACAAATTATCGCATCGATATCAAACTTGGTAATTATGTCCTTGGCAATAAATGACATTCTTTAAAGGCGAAAAAATTCAAATTTAGAAAGAAAAGCATAATAATTATTACAAAATGTACCAAAAAAATCGGTTATAAATTAAAAAAAAAGAAAAAACATTAACGAATTCATCAAATTAATTTACGTCTGTGAAGCTGGCCGGAACATACCATAATATGAAAATATTCACTACATGAGAATTAAGGGCTCATTAAGGACTAATTAGGGCTGTGTGTCTTGAATTTTGGGCTTTTGATTTATTTAAAGAAAATGACACCCGGCTAACTTCATATTGAAGCTGGCCGGAAACACGCATAGCTTCTATATTACTGCTCCAATTAACTTCTAAGTGGCAGAAACATTTAGGGCTCATTAAGCCCTTTAAGAATACTCTATATTATTAGTTGAAAAGTTTCAGTTTTTTAAAAAAAGTCGTGGTTCCGGCCTGCTTCACGTTGAAGCTGGCCGGAAACACACATAACTTCTACGGCACTGCTCCTATTAACTTCTAAGTGGTTAAAAAATTTAGGGCTTATTCAGGATTACTAAAAAAAATCCAGTAATCATAACTTTTAAAGTAAGTTAGGATAAATAGTAGGGGTGTGCTAAAAGCTCGAATGACCGAGCCGAGCCGAAATTTTTTCGAGCCGAGCCCGAGCTTGGCTCGAAGTATCATATCGAGTACTCGAAT